GCAAACATCCACTTTTATTAGAAATTATTGAATTGTATAATAGGCTTGCTACTGGCCAATGCGACTATGATCTTTGTTGGTTGCTTAGCCGCGTTGGCATTTCTGCAGGAACACAATGGCTGATCTTGCTGCTAAGGCAGCACTCAACAAATCTGTGGACACCACTTCTGCTCCCACATACTCTGATTACAAAGCTTGCATTAGATCTTACATCAAGTGATCTAATGCAAAAGAAGATGGAAGGACACCAGAAAGTAAGGTAATCAACCAAATTACATGCAATAAAACCCTACATTGGTTACACTTTACTTTGGAGGTTGTCAGTCAGATTTGAGGAGGTCATTATCGTGCGTGTAGCGTTATTGTATACCAGATATACTCATGAATATTCCATTGAAAGCCCGAAGATCCACTCCGTTTTGTATCCTTGTGATGAGAGAGTCACGAGTCAAAGCATCTCCTGCTTGACTGTGTTGGTATCTCCATCATAAAAAGGGATAAATATTCAATGTTAAAACTCTTCACCGGATCTTTTTAATTCTGTTTCATCTTCATTTTAATTCTTGGTTTTTAAAAGAAATTGATTTCATTAATGAATTTTGATTAATATATTATGTATATAGCTGTGTTTTAATATGATTGGTAGTTTGATTGATAACTTAGATTGTTAAGTGGCTGTACTCTCAAGGGGGTTGAAGTATTGTGGAAATTATTGTCCCCTGAGGAAGTGCAGTAGAGATCCCAAAACATTCAAAGTCAGTTTCAACTTTCCGATTTTTTAATCATTAGAATATTTGTAATTTTAATGTATGGCTAGATATCGTTAATTGCTAGCGGTTGAGGGATGATGATATAAATCCAGCTAGGGCCCATGCAGGGAAGCAAATGTACTATGAAGTCCCCATGGTCCCTAGTATGGTGCGTCTACCTTCAGTTGTTAGCGATCTATAGCCCATTTTTTAGATTGTATTTGTCCCCTATGGTTAAAATGTTTTGGAATTTAATTACTAGTTTTAAATTATTCTCTGTGATAATCTAGTTATTTTACTTTGTCCTTAGAGTAGGCCGAGGCTTTTATAATTTTCTATTATTTACTATATGTACCAATTAATTGTTCTCGTCCCGCGATAGCAAAACGAAATATTGCCGATGTGACGATAAATATTAACTCACTCACTCACTCACTCATAATCAACGATTTATGTCGTTGTGCCAGGCGTGCCAGATGGAGCATGTCCGGAGACCAATGCAGCTGATCTGAGTGAGGGTGAACCAGAAGATGGGGTGCAGCCTGGAAGTGAATGCGGGGATTTGGAGTCGAAGCCATTCCTTGCAGATCAAGGAACCAACTTCTGGCCCGACCAGTAGGGCCTTCTACCAAAATCAGTATCATCAGCTGCATCGTAAACGTAACTTGAGAATGCACCGTGGAAGAGAAGTGCCACTTCTAGCGGAAGCTTGCTTGCACGCATTTAAGAGTTCTCCCTGGGGATGGCAAGAACATTGTGTGCCCAGGCAGGGGATCAGAATGCGTCTCTACCACAAACTGTGGAAGCTGAGTGTTGAAATGAGTTGCTGAAGAGGTGGAGCTGTCCGGGAAACCACATCGGGAGGAAAGAATTTGGAAAACCTGCGGGATGTAGTTTCCACTCCGTGCTCGAGATAATGAGTGAGCCAAAGCGGGACAGAGAAGAGTCAGCAATAACGTTTTCACCCTGGGAGTGTGATTGGCCTGGACCGAGATGTTGGCTTGAAGAGTTCACCGAAGCGGAAAAACTGCTGCGTTCAATGAAAGGAGCTAAGGAAATGCCATGGACCCCATGCAATTGATGTACCACACGACTGCCGCGTTGTCCGACAGAATCAAAAGACTGGTTGATTGAAGTAGGTGTTGCCAATGAGTGATGGCCAAGATGACTGCCCTGAGCTTGAGAACGTTGATGTGACATGCACGGTCTGCAAGAGCCCTGCCACTTGATGATCGAGGAGGTGAGCTCCCCACCCCTGTAGAGATGCGTCTACATACAGGTGATGTGCTGGAGCAAACGGCCTAAAAGAGACTCTGCCACAAACATTCAACTCATCCAACCACCACTGTAGATGGGGATGGAGTGCGGGGAGAGCAGAAGGGAAACTAATCGCGTGAGGGTAAGCTTGAGTCAATGGGAGAGTGGCGATCAAAGGAAGTTAGAAACCACGGCTATCGTTGACGTATGCGTAAAGGGTCTTCCAAAATGATCCAATTGCGAGCATAAGTCCCAAGTCTTCCGTCAACTGGAGAGTAGAACTTACGAACCTGACTGGGGACGGAAGGTCCCTGATCGTCTGTGATATCATCAAGTCACTGCTTGCCAGAACCTGACGCGGGGGGCTGGTGAGGCTTGGCAGCCAGGCGAAAAGACCAGTGAAGGACGCGTTGGCATCGGAGCGTCCTTGGGAGAAGACCCTTTCACTAAAAGCAGTGGGGTCAGTGTTGTTAGGAACACTAGGTAGCAGGCGGCGATGAAGCATGGAATCCTCCACCTACATGCGTTGGAATGTCAACAACTGCATCGAAACCTGAAGGTGAACCTCCTGCCCAACCATCATGGCTATCTCCCTAATAGCTCCATTAAACAACGTACGACCCGACCAAGCCTGACGAATCAGATCAGTCCAAAACCTGTTTCCCCAGGAAGATAGGTGTAAGGATCGCCCTAACACGCATATTAGGTAGGAGATAAAATGTACCATTTGATCAAGAATAATTTGAAATTGCATGAGGACCATGGACGCAGGGATGGTTACCACCTCCAACGAATTGTCAAGACCATATTGAAGGGAGTCAAGATCTTGCAGACAGAGGTGTCTAGATGAGAAAGCTCCTGATCCTCAAACAGGAAGGGAGGGTATGAACACTGCTTTGTAGCCAGTAAAGAGATGTCATCATCTACCAAAGGTGATGTGATCAAGTTGGCAAATCCATGCACGTGGGTCGATGCAAGATTAAACCTCGGAGCTGCAAAACCATCCTTGACTTTCCACAAATTATCAAACGCCTCATCCAAAGAGTCAGCAAGCTGTGTAATGCATGGGCGAGGCGGAAACATGATTGAGCTAAAGTCCCATTGACTCATGTCAATGGAGGACAAAAGGTCCGCATGTGATTTGCTTCTAGGCAGTTTAAGGTTGTTAGCAATCCCGGTCAATAATTGTGGAGTCTCTACCGCGTCCACGCTCGTCTCAACTGTGGAAAGACAATCAGATGCAGGCGACGGCGTAGCAGAAGGAACAGCATCACGTAGCGAAGGACCCGATGAATGTTCATGACCCAACGCTCAAGCCACCGCTCTGATTATAGAGTCAAAGTCAAAGGCTGAGCCTGAGAGGTGTCTGTAGACAGATCCCATGAAACCAGCAAACTCCAGGGTGAGACATAGTCAGAAGAAGGTTACCACCAGTGGTAAATGAAGCATAACATGCAGTTGCTGGGAACACAGGCACATCGGCTGGAACAGGCACTGGCAACTGAACAAGCATTACTTGTAACTGCAGGCAAAGCCGAACTGGTGACCGGTAGCTGAGTGGGGGCTTCTGCAAAAGTGGAGATCCCCAGGAACTTCGAGGTATAAAGCGTTGAATATACGCGGAAGTGGCGCGACCCTTGGCTGATAAGGTGGGGAAACCCGAAGTGGTGCATTGGTAGCAAGCGCTGAACGAAGCTGAGACTGTGAACTGAGGTACAGATCAACAACCAACGAAGCACCAGTAGGAAAACCAGTGGAGACAGTAATGGCTGACACCTGCAGGTGGCGCCGAACCCACGGAATAGGTACAAGATGTTGGTAAGTAGACTGGGGCGACCCACTGGGATAGTATGTTGAACCATAAGACAAGCGTATCAGTAACTGGAAGCATTACACTAAATGCGCCATGAAAGCGAGACCGTGAACAACAGCATTGGTGAAGAGCCGCTCTCTGGGAACAAGTGGCGCCACGCAGTACTGGCCAAGGTTTGATCGAGAGCAGCACATTGGAAACAGCGTCGAACTGGTTGAAAGCGGCACATTGGTGGGGAGCGCTGAACCAATCAAAAGACGAGGCACACTTTGAAGCAACACACTCACCACCGTAGACGATCCCTGTCAGCAACCCGTCTAGAGCCAACTCATCTATAGGCCAAGAAAGCGTTGTCATCAAGGTAAGATAAGTATGAACAGCGACAAGACCTTTCGCACCAGCCTATGCAGTCAACACACAACAGGTGCAGAATTACTGTTGCATTTGTCACAATGCTTCCTCTCGCGTGAGGGCCGATTGCTTTTTCTCATGATGAAAAAAGCCAAGTCGAGACGAATACGATCAGATCAGAATAACACGTCCAGCTCGGAGAGTGACAAGAAAGAGAATGACAGCAGTGGGTTGTCACATGACCATCTGAGTGCTTAGCATGCTATACAGAGATGATTGACAGGTCTATTTATAGGACTGGGTGCAGAGAGTCAGGTTCGACTGAGGCCAGAAAGATTTGATTCAAATCACAGCACGTTTACGACTTATTGATGCTTTGTCGAAGAAGAGAACAAGTACATACCATGAGATAGGATAAGTTTAACAATAATCAAGTAAATTTCAACTGATTGAGTCCTTATAGTTAAAAATAGTTGCAAAGTCCTGATGCCTTGTTCAGCAGTTTCGCTAGTAGAAACGACATGTAATTATAGGGTGATCTCTCATATGTTACAACGAGCAAATCAGGAATTCTTCACTTGTTTCTAAATATGTCCTTAAAAGTATGTTGAAATTGATGATAATCTGGTGATAATTCTCTCAAGGCAGTTGGTTTCTGCGGTAAATGAAACGTTCGACAATTATAACTGATGTGTTCATCACAAAGTAAATCAATTTATGACTTTCAATATTGTTCAGCCTTTTGTTTAGTCCAGAAACTCTCAAAAACAAAAATGTTCCTTTTCTGTTAGCCCCCAAAAATATAAAAAATAAACTTTAAATATATTTACCATAAGACCTGCTGTTTGATCATCCAGGTGTTGTGGCACTAGACCTTCTGCGACGATTCCTGGTTGTAAAAATGTCATATTTTTACCACTTCAATACAATAAAGTGGATGCCCACAGCCATCTCAGAACTGAGTTGTTTAACATCAGTTATCATGTTGGATTTAGAAGTTCCATTAACAAGAGTATACTCCAGTTCTTTTAAAGAGGAAAACATGTCTTTCCAGTGATATAATGACTATCAGACTTGGCTAAACGAAGAAAACTGCATACTAAGAGACGTTTAAGTAAAAATGTCCTTGAACGTTACTTAAATAGGAAGGGACGTTTTGATCAATTAATACGAAGACATATGCACGCGTAAGGACACCAGTATGGTCTGTTTATATACTAGGCACATAAAGAAACTGTGCATACAAAAATTTAAAATCTAAATTTATCAAACCTGTGTAGACACATAAGGATTTTAACTCAGAGATTAGTGACATGTATCCAACATGCATGCATGTGCCACGTTCCGTGACGTCTGTGGGTTCGTCCTTGAGACGTGCAGTACGCTGTTGCACGTGCATTCCGGGAAAGAGAAACAGAGCAAATGAATGCCACACAATACTGTCACTTTGGAAAGCTCAACCCCTGCCCTTGCCATCGTTCAAAAAATTAAACGGCTATTGAAACGCATAGCATGCCAAGGCTCACGTCTGCACAACGTCATGAGGCCATTGGGATGGTTCGTGAGGGTATGTCTCAACGACAAGTGGATGCACATTTCCACTGCCACCGGAACACCATTTCTGCACTGGTGAGACGCTACCAGAACACAAATGACGTCATCAATCGGCCACGTTCTAGACGTCCACGTGTAACAACGCCAAGACAGGACAGATTGATAAGGGTGACCCATCTTCGCCACAGGCTTCAGACTGCAGTGATGACTGCCCGAACCATCCCAGGACTTCACTGTATCCACCCCAACACAGTTCGACAACGTTTACGTCATCACGGGATCTGACCACGACGTCCCGCCATACGGCCTATCCTGACACAACGTCATCGACAAGCTCGTCGAATGTGGTGCCCAAATCATGTCCGCAGACCCTTGTTTTGGTAGAGAAATGTTGTTTTTACAGATGAGTCCATAGACGCGTGGGAGAACGTTATGCACAGGCCTGTGTCTTGGAGAGGAATCGCTTTGGTGGTGGTGGTTCCGTGATGATTTGGGGTGGAATAATAGCACGCCAAAGAACTCCTTTGGTGATTGTTCAGGGCAACTTAACTGGTGTGGGCTACAGGGATCAGATTATTCGACCTGTGGCAATTCCTTTTCTGCAACGTCATGGCCCTGGGTTAACATTCCAACAGGACAATGCCCGCCCTCATACGGCAAGGGTTGCTATGGATTTCTTGCAACACCACAACGTTGACTTACTGCCTTGTCCTGCAAATTCACTGGATCTCTCCCCGATTGAGCATGTTTGGGACCAGATGGATCGACGTCTACGCTGTCTTCCTCATCCGCCAGATAACGTCCTTGACCTTGCAACAGAACTTGAGAGAATCTGGCGTGACATCCCACAAGCCTTTCTTGCACGTTTGATAGGCTCTAAGCGTCGTCGATGCACTGCTGTTCTCAATGCCGATGGTGGACATACCGTTATTGAGCTTGTGACATGGTCGTTTGACCCTGTCCCGCTTGTGGACTCGTGACTTCATTGTGATTGACTTTTCAATTGAAATTCTCCTGACTTGTTATGGTCTCATGATCCCTCCATTAAAGTTTATATACCTTTGACATTGTTATCGTACTTATCAACTGGGATAATATTTTGACAATGCACAGTTTCTTTATGTGCCTAGTATATAAAAACAATTATCATTGATTCATGAAGCTATTCTACTGAAGCAGTTAAATGGAGCATCTCACAAGGACTGGTATTGAATTGATATTGTCCACGACACCATCACCCTAGAATTTAGTTTTGTTAAAATATAAAATATATTGCTTGTCTGTTGCTTCCCACACTAATCGTCTCGTTATTTATGTCCCAGTTTTGGAGATCATATCAATGCATGATTTTGGCTCAAGGCATCTACTTTAGTACATTTCCATGAATATTTCCTAGACCATGTTATTCTGCTGGTGAATATCACACATCACACATACACACATCACACATACTCGCCTTCCATGGGTCTTGATAAAATGCCAACATTGGCCATCAGTGCTTCTATGTTAGAAGCTTCTTGTGGCACAAATCTGATGTCTAGCATAGTTTGTTCAATACCAAGCTGCAAACTGGTAGGTGTATCAGTCAGTGATTCCAGGCTCCTGTTTATAGCAGGATACATCTGCAGCATCTCAACAACGTCAGCCTTCTCTTTGGCCTGTGCAAAATATGTGTCAGTAGAGTCTATAACCGCTAAAGTCTGGTCATTAGATTCCATTTTCTTTTGAAGAATGGATAACAAACGGGCACTTCTTTGTTTTACATCAGTCTCCAGCTGCAGTTTTCTCTTGTCCAAAACGGTCTTGAAGTGATCAAACATGGTGTTAATATCTGATAAAGATTTTGCCCTCATGTCTTCAATATGCTTTTCTTGGCGTTTTATTTGTTTCTTATTATTTCTTAAACGATCTGCATGGCCATGAACTTGAGTGAGTTTGGTTTCCAGTTCTGCCTTCCTTGCAGCTGATGCCTCTTCCAGCTGCTGCAAATCATGACCTTTGTGGTCTAGAACTGTACAGGAGACACAGCATAGTTTCTCTTCTGTTGCACAGTAGAATTCAAGGTTGTGTTTCGGGTGTTTAGGACAAAAATGACCTTTTGCAAATGACGTTATTGGCTGGTCAATAAGGTCCCCAAGAGACACGATGACATGGTCTCTGCTAAGCCGATGACGTCTGTGTACAAAGTCACACTCCTTACACAGATAGCTGTGACATTCTTGACATCGTGACACAGCCTCATTCCTCTCAGGACACTCACTGCACTGGGCCTTCTTATCCTGCTTGATCTGCAGGAACTCTACTAGCTTGTCCCTCAGGCCATCAACCTGGAGTGTGTCAGCGTTTCCATGGACTCTTTGGACTTGACGACATAACGGACATGTGATCTGACCTTTCCTCTCCTTGACAAGAAGCTGCTGAAGACACTGTGTACAAAAGGCGTGTAAGCAGGAGTGGAGGAGACGAGGACAACGGTCTGTCTGGTTGAAATGTTCCACACACACGGGGCATTCCAAGAAGTTGTCTTTTAAGCTTCCAACGTCTACCTTTTCTTGAGGTTCAGACATTCTGTAAGAAAAAGAGAACATACTAAGTATATGCAGTGTTTCCGCTGGGTATTATTTTTACCAGCCACAGTGTCCGGCGATCATTTCATTTTCCGGTCCTGTACACAATCTGGCGGTCACAATTTATATGCAAGAGTTATGCAATGATACTTAAATTCAATAAATATAATAAAACCATACCTTTCAGAGTTTTCTGTTTTTATTTCGGAACATGACTCTTGCTTTTTCGATGTTCTTTTCTCCTGCGTGCATGTTTAATGTCATGAGAGTATTCAACCGATCCTGTGATAGTCGATTTTGTCGGGGATTGTGAACCAGATTTTGGAGGCTGAACCCCCTCTCTGCAGCCATGGTGCTCACTGGGATTGTCATGGCAATCTTTGCCAACACAGCAAAGTCTGGGTAAATGTCACCATACTCCATAATAATGGCACGACAATTTGTTTCTAGTGAAGTGGTGCCAAGACCACGGACAGTTGTTTTGTAATGGCTGAAGTCCTTCCTAGCACGGTCGCCATTGACAACACCTGTGACATCATTTTCCTCTTGTCCATTCACAGGGCTGAACTGAGTTATCAACACGTCAAGGGAATCCCGAGCATATGCGACAATGTCGTCTTGTGATTCAGAAAAACGAATGGGGTTCAGAACCTTATCAAGGCATGGTAAAACATGTAAACTCTCCTCTGGAAATCTAGCGTGTAGATTACAGCATAGTTCTTCAATAAATCCTTTTCTCATGTTTTGAAAAGCACGATTAGAACCAGCATCTGCATATTTGAGTTTCACGCCCCCTGAAATATCCTTTCTGGAGATTTTCTGTGAAATACTTCTCACTTTCGCCTGGAGTTGTTATCAACTCCATCAGTGAAGTGCAAGTCAAATTTACTATTGGCATAACCATGCCAATGTTGAGATTTTCTTTCTGAAATATCTTTATCAACTTGTCCATGTAGTACAAGACATCCGAGAGCATGTAAGTGGTGGTATTGAACGAATACGTTTGGATCTTCTTCTGAATATTAACAGCTGCACTGTTATTTCTGTTGGCGGCCTCCTCTTCAATTTCCATAATGAGGGCTGGCCAATTGTTTTTTGCACTTTTGACGGCGTTTCCCACAGACAACCATCTGACACTGCATGGTTGTTTTACACTTGAAAAGTCTGAATCCTCCAAAACTTGCGATAATTCGCGTAATCGGTTATACCGAGAGGCTGAATATTTGTACAGTTTATAAATGTCATTCAGTGTCTGTCGATATTCTGCTACTGTTTTAGATACTTTTGCAGCGTCTGCAGACGCCAGTGCCACCATATGTGCAATACAATGCACATGGATCATGTAAGACCATTCATTCTAAGACCATTCATTCATTCTAAGACCAACACTGCTTCTCTTCCCCGTCATAACGGCTGCACCGTCTGAACCCAGTCCAATAACCTTTTCAAGAGGAATATTCCATTCTGCAAGTACTTCGTGCACTTTATTTGTCACACATTCTGCTGTACCACTGTGAACGGAGTAGTTTCCAATAAATAGTGTTTCTGGCAGCCCATTTGCGTTAAAAATTTTCAACTGTCACATTTAGTCTCATCAATGATGATTCCCATGAACTCACTTTTAGAAATTTTGTCTTTCATTTCATTCACCGTACTTTTTAGCAACGCATCTTCCATTTCTCCAATGCTATCGGAATGTGTGTGGACATCACCAGTCAAACTTGAACAGCCATTTTTTTGCTGTAACTCGATCAATCCAGAAAATTTAACAGTCGTAAAATTTTCTTGTGCCATGTATAATACAGTTCTCATCATAGCTGTTAACTTTGCATCAGATTTCTCAGTTGCAGCGTTTAGATGCGTAGTCATTGCATTTTGATGAAAACTTCTTGTTACAGCATGACGATGGGATGCACTGTCACGATGTTCTCTCAATGCAGACTTTTTCAAATTTATACATCCTCCGGTGAATCCATTCACTTTTGCTGCATGTTCGCATATTTTACAGAACATTAAAACACTTCCACTGTGATCCTCATAACGAAGCCATTTGAACTCTGTCAGCCACTCAGAATTAAATTTGCGTATTTTAGTATTGCAAGTTTTAGCTTTAGAGTTCCCACTTGAACAGAGGCTTTCCCCTTTATTGTGTCGCTTACTGGTTTCTACATCTGTTCTCAGTTCATTTTGATCGTCTTCCGATTCACAAACCTTTCTTTACCACAGAAGAAAGTGGAAAGCATCGTCTGCTTTTTACTGGCCATTTTCACGTTTGACAGTCACCATGTGCTTTTAACAATCTGATACGATCGTACATTTCCGCGACAATTCGTAAGCCTACATATTATTATAATGGGACGAGATACAAAGAACACACAAATTATTCAGAATGGCTGACGAAGCATTGACCAATCACATTTCGTACATTACGTCACATGATTTGGTTTGTTTACGAGATGAAATCATAAGTTCTCGAAACTATATTTAGATAGAATTTATTCTTGAACGACTTCTCGTTGACGTTGATATACATGGCATGACTTGTATTATGCATTTTATGATTTTATGTTTACCGGACACGAGGACCGGCAGCATTTGAATTTATCGGTCCTGGACCCCTTTTACCAGCAAAAAGCCGGCATATGCCAGAGAACGGAAACACTGATATGTAAGTAAGCTTACACAACAATTTTTTTCTATTCAAATGGTTGCATCACTTCCTCATAATGCTATTTTGGTTTTATTCTGAATAGAATCATTTCAAGATAGACATAATTTTTTTTTGCAGTCATATCCCAGCAGGCACATCAACGCTGTTTCAACGTTGAGAATAGGTTGGTCCTCAACGTTGAAATTACATGTAGATTGAAAGTAGGTTGTATATGAAAAATGTTTAGACGTAGATGTCCGACGTGGAATCAACGACAAAGTCTGACCTATTATCAACGTTGAAAAAGGTTGTATATGAAAGTTTTTTAGACGTAGATATCCGACCTGGAATCAACGTTGAAGTTTGACCTATTATCAACGTTGAAAAAAGGTTGTATATGAAAGTATTTTAGACGTAGATATCCGACGTGGAATCAATGTTAAAGTTTGACATATTATTAACCTTGAAAATGGGTTGTTCCGTGGTTGTGTCTGGGAGGTACTACGCTTTCATGTAAATAGACTCGCACTTCATCTTTAAACTACACTAAAGTAGCACCAAACTCATGCATCCAGCTAAAATACCCAAAAAGCTACCTGCAATAAGCAGTGTTCAAACATAAATTGCAGTAAAAATATTTACCTGATAAAATACTTGGTTAAAATTCCACATTCAATATAAAGCTCATTAAAGTTTTATGTCAGTTGGACGTATAATTCCAGTAAGAAGAAAAGAGTATTCCAAATTAAGAAAAACTATTAACTGTTGTATTGTTATCTTGAAAAGGTGGAAATTGGAGTTCTGAAAACAATAATGAGCTCTCATAAGTATACAATAGATTCCCTATTACCTACTCTGTCTCTCTTTGTCATTTGTACACTCATAAAACTCAGATAAATAACTTCTTCATAATTCAGAAATGTTTACACTTAATCTCTTATAGGAACGCTAAGAAAATCTCTCATATGATGAATTATGTGTGCCTATAATATCTGCGACGTCACAACTATGCTTCTCTGAATCATGAACAATAAAATAATGAGATTAAACTCTACACTGCCAGAAATAATCTATCATACCCTGAATAATACGACACTGAATAACATCTCTTACAACTCTGAAATACATCTACACTCAAAAAGACTTAAATGTACTCGTAAACAAACATCGCTGGCACACGCAAATTCTTGGAAACAGTGTATCTCTGACTCTCAATTCCAAGAAATGGAAGTCCTACTCTATTTGACCAAAGGGGTGACAGGTGGCCAAAACATATTGAAATGTAGGTCATACACTGAAAATAACTCTGATTTAAAACACTACAAATATACACTTTCTCTCTAATATACTCGGTAGATGATCTTGACAAGGGAACATGTACATAAAATGCTGATATCTAACAATGCCTGTACTCCAAATAATGGACTCTTCCAAATCTCAGTAGGTTTCACTGCACACACATTTAAATGCAAAATAATGAAAAACCTACACTTTGACAATGATAAAGAAACATCATATTCAAATTCTACAGCTGACCAAATACCTGAAGAGTGTGTCTCCCAGTAATAAACATCTATAGATCTCTATAAATTTATGACTTCTGTCCTCTCTCGTGCTTTCTCGCATCTAAGCTGGTTCCCGGCTCCCTTTGCGCGCGCTAACGTTCGACAAAGCTTATCTCGCATCCAGCTCTGTACGGCGAAAAACAATATGGCGCCAAGCAAGGGAGTGCTCATTAAACTAAACATCTCCGGGAGATATCATTGTCAAATTATTCTCTTACATGATCAACCTTTGTGGTGGATATACTGGAAACAAGTGAAATGTTAAAAACTTGTTACCCCTTAGCATTGCTCCTTTTATGTGATCCACAACATTGATGCCACCCAGTCTTCGAAGATGAAATTTCTGCAAATTCCATTAAAATTATATCTTATTTCATAATTAAATGGTCCTTACTAAATTACTTCTTTTGTATGTAACATTTTAACCTTTAAGAGACATGAATCATCACATCCCTTCCAAACAAGTGTAAGAATGAGTGCAGTTTTGTTAATTGTCCCATCAAAGAATCATTAGTGAAGTTACACATTTTGTAAATAAATAAAAGTTGAAATAAATTATATGCAATTTCATCCTTAACAAAGACTTGCACAAGACATTTTGATGTGAATTTTCGTTGCATGATCTGAGAAAGATTTCCTTTCACCATTCTCCAACCCCCATCCCCCAAATAATATGCATATGTTGACAGGGTTCAGAGCGTGCTCAATGCATAATTTACTGATAGACTTATTCAAACGAACAAATGATCATAATAATGTGATGCAATATAAACTGTCGATAGATTCTATTCGATTTCGTATAGCTGCCCTTAGGGACCGTTCATAATCTATGGCTTGGGGGTGATGATGATTTTTATGAAGAAGCATGTGCAATGTGAATTACCCTTAAAGTGTATGTACGAAATAAGTGACGCCCACCCTGCATGTCATGTACAATATCTATCTATAGATATCTATATCTCCCCTTCCCATAATTTCTAAGCATCATATTAAACATAGTGCGTGTGTACAAAAATGCTGACCCCCTTAGCTCCCCTGAACAAAATGGGTGAACACACCCCCACCCCCAAACCCCGTTCTGTCCTGCGCGGCACACTGAGAACTGACTTGTGTTATTTTCTAATACTGATCAACTGATTTATTTTGCTATCTGCCAAGAGAAGTCCGTGGTTAGATAGCCTAGTCATTTCATGTATATACCTTAAAGATGGAACTGTTAATAAAGCGGCATATAAAAAACACGCACGCTCACACGTTCACACGCATGCACGTGAAATATGCACCAGACCTCAGCACCACCACCCAGAAACACACGTGCGCGTGACTGATAGGGTTTGGGTGTTTCCTTAGCAACAAACTGGACCCACAATTACCTGTACCATTCGTTACAATTCGTTAACGGCACGCAGACTTTGGATTCGGAAACGCAACATGACGGACGGACTTACATGGTCTTATACATGACGCGAATCCATTGCATATTTACTGGTAGGTTTGTGGAAGCGTGGATTTTTTTACTTTTTGGG